TAACAAATGTGAAACTTTATTATTTTGGCCAATCTTAAAGAGAAAATTACATCATCAATTTCTTCATTTGTTCCTAGAACTACTATCTAATAGAATTAACCTAGATAATAGGCTGAATCAATTTGATTCCTTTGATACATAGTTAAATCCTATATTTGAAAACAAATATATAAACAAAATCTAAGAAGCTTTTAAAGAATTTAATGAAATTAGTTAAAAGTAATAGCATTTGTTAGTATCTCCTACTCTAGACCCTTCTTGTTGTCTATCTTGTTATTTTTAAAATGTTACAGATAACCCAGATGATCTCTGATTCTAAGTAGTGACAGAAGAAAAAAATTCAACATGTCCTATCTAAATAAGCACACTTCAGAGATTTTTTTTTCAAACACAACACAATTTATGTGAGGAATAATCTTCTATTGTTAAGACAATTTCTTAAATTTTGCAAGAACAGATAGCAAAGATATAAAACAGCAGTTTAAAGTTTACAGTATGCCTCATAACACAAGGGTGCTACAGTTGACATTAAGCCTTTAAAAATTATTTCTGAAGGTTTTGTCTTTTTTAAAAAAATCCTTATTCCTATAAATACTGACGAGGGGTCCAGTATATCCTAGGCCACTGTTTCACTGTTTTTCTGTGTCTGTTAGAAAGAAACATATGCCATGTGGATGAACACAGGCACAAGCACCTATCAGGATTAACCAGCTAAGCATGATGACTAGTCAAATATTTTTATCTATTGCAACAACTGAGTACCAGACTTGACAGCTTGATTTCACACAAGCATGACCTGGGAATTTTTAAAAAGTGATTTTGGCCCCACTTGTGACTAAATTAGAATATCTGAGAATAAGGGCCAGACATTTACATATTTTAATTGTTCCCTGGATGATCATAAAGTACAGCCAGTTTGAAAAGCTCTGAATTAAGTTGAGAATAAGAAATTAAAAGTAAGCTGCTTCTAATTTTGATACTGTATTCTTTTAGTAAAAACATGGGAAACCAGTGAACTATTTTACTCTAATGTGCTATAATGATACATTTTCTTGAAATGTGTAATTGTAAAAACATAGGATTTTTTTCTTTTTCATGATATTCATGCAGTTTTACACATATTGACAGACGTTAGAGCATACCAAAAAAGTAAACTTCCCTAAGGGTAGAAACTGTCACTTTATTGTGACAAGTAGGACCTAATAGAACTGGTTTTCTTAAAAACTCATCGGTTACCCCCATCTGGTTCTACAGAGTACCACAGTGACAATTTCAAAAAGAAAAAAGAAAGTTAAACAGCAAAAGATATGAAATAAATTCTTAATGTTATTAATAAAGTCAAGAACTTTTTATATGACCTCAATTCACATGTTCTTCTAATTGTTTTTTTCTTTACTAAAAGCCCACATTTATTCAGCTTTCCTTCTATGATTTATAATTGCTTAATTCTAAAACCATAGATGGAGCCATCAAGTTAAATGATCAAGTAATCATGGTTTTTGTATTCACTATAAATTTACTATCCTTAATAGCATTTTTAATGTTATTTATAGCCAATAATTCCTGTTTATGTTATGCATAATTATCAAATAACATATAAAAAATTTAAATAAACCTGCTGTTAGAGAATTATTTGATTACACATCAAAGGAGCAAATAAAGCTTGCAGACATGACACTTTCAGCTTATTTATGAAAGATTCTTGGTAACCAGTAACTGTAGTTGTTGAACTTTCGTAGGCATGGGCTCTATCTTATTCTTTGGTATAACTTTGATTGGTATAGGAAGAATAGCAGGCACTTAATACATGATTGCTAACTTGAATATTCTTTAAAATTCTAAATATTAAACATAATTAATATGATGGAACTAGATTATGCGTTTTCAAATATTTAGAAATAATCTGTTGAAAAAAATCCCAAAATTCATAAATTTGTGTCACTGATCAGTGTGTTGCACTGTAAGAATCCACAATGTTTTTAAACTAGTTCATTTTCTAAACTCAAAGTGATATTTATATATTTTATTTTTCCCATTAAATGCAATACTCAGAAAATAATAAATAACTAGAGTTTAGGCATCTATGTTAAAAAATGTCAATTTTCTAAAATATGAAATACATTTAATTGCTATAACTAATTTATAGATTATATCTGAATTACTACTTAAATATACACATGTTTAAAGTAACACCAAGGATTCATATTAATCTTATATTCTTACAGGATTTCTGTTTTTACATGTATAATGTGAATGTGATTGTCACTTTGAGTTTCTTAAAATTCTACATTATTCTAAAAAAATTTTTACTGTTTAAATTTTTTTTTAACTTGTAGATGGACACAGTATCTTTGTTTTATTTATTTATTTTTATGTGGTGCTGGTGATCAAACCCAGTGCCTCACAAGTGCTTGGCAAGCATTCTACCACTGAGCTACAACCCCAGCCCCTTAACTACTTTGTATTTTGAGAATTCAACACAATTGAGTCAATTGACGCTGACATAGTTAAATAGCAAAAGATATGAAATAAATTCTTAATGTTATTAATAAAGTGAAGAGCTTTTTATATGACCTCAATTCATAACATCTATGCCTATATGACTGAAACATGAGTGAAAAGTGAAAAATACAGATACTCATCAACCTTTTAAAGGCTCTATACCTTTTAAACAGTGAGTGATATAGTACTGTTCTGATGTTGAACTTAGCTTTTCATTTCCTCTAAAATATTTTGGATTGTGTAAAATAGTATGGTGTTTTAGCTGACTTGAAGAGGCTGTATATCTACGTTGACATTTGAAGATAGCTTTATTTTTATATTCTTTGGTTGCAGGAGGCATTTAACAGCATTTTAGATATTTCTGTAATGTTCCAAAACATATCCACAAATCTTTCCTTTAGTTATAATATATATTAAGCTGTGGCCCCTGAAATTGAGGAGAATGAGTTTCTAATTAGTGTATGAATGTATGTGAATGTCAGTGTGTGTGTTTGTGTATACACACACATACATAAAATATTTGGCTAAGCTTTAAATTGAGATTGAAACTTTTCAATTATTCTAACTATTCTTAAGATAATTTATAAAATTTGAAAGGAAGTATGAGTGTACCCCTTAAAAATAAAATGCAACCTACTAATTCTGAAACTTTCTGGGATTTCCGATACAGTAGGTTTAAATGAATTTACATCTTCTAAAATCTCGATTACGGTAAAAAAAAATGCATATATTTTAAGAATTAAATCTTGTATACTGTAATCACAGAAAACAGTTGATGGTCAGATTTCCAGAGAGATATTGTTAGATGTGTAAAAACAGCTTTTTAAAACTGGGAGTATTTCAGTGTTGATTTTAATTGGAAGGAAACTATGAGATAAATAACTCTGTCCTGCTAAGAAACTTGTTTATAGGTGGGATTTCCCATGATTCTGAGAACATGGTGAACACTTTCATCACCCTCTTACCCCAACCATTGTAATTTAAAGCGGAAGATAAAGTTTTAAAGAAAAATTTGCATACTAGTCACTGCTGGCTAAAAGTAATGTAAATGAGAGTTTTAATAAAATTAGAAATCAGTTTTCCCCTTTGAAAGATTCATAAATTTTTATATTACAAAGAGATATTTTAAATACTGTAAAAGTTCAGATTTGGCCATCTACTTAGAGTTACAAAGCAGGAAATGTCTAGAATAGATTCTTAATATAAAAGAGTAACAAAACCAAGACTTTAATCCATTTTTATATGATCACTAGTTTGACAACTGAATTTAAGTGAGGCATGATAAAATAAAGGTAGTAAATGGCAATATTAACTCAATGTCAAAAATCTTGACATTTGGATATTATAGAGATCTCTGGGTAAAAGGTGTTTTTACAGTTACTTTCTATGAAAACACAAAATAGTGATATGTGCTTTCCAACGACCACTTACTGAATTATTTGAAGCCAGTTTTAAATTACTGTATTTGTAATAAATGAATCCTCACTTCTTTTTACAATTACATTTCTGAGAATTCTGGAATTTCCTGAACCACAATGTGTAAAAAGAGGTGCTCCTGAGTGGGCTCCTTTTCTCAGTTTTGTGGTTGTTGATGAGGTTCTTTCTGAGCTATGCTCTTTCTCCTGGAGAGTTCTCACTAAACGCAGGCGGGCATGGGAGGATCAGGTACTGCAGCTGTGAAACCTCTGCTCAGTCCTGCGTTTTGGTTTACACATGGCCAGGTTAAGGAAACAGATTTCAACGATTTGTGTATTCGTAACAGACTCAGGTTTAATGTGTTTATTTCTGGTCTAGAATGATCTTTGCACTGAGTAATCCTCTTTCGATGTGCGAGTAAGTCACTGGATTTTATTTATCTCTGATTCACGGTGGCTTGAAGCAGGCCGCTAATTACCACCGAGCCCCATTAGGGGCAAGAAAGTAAGAAACCTTAATTCCATCGCGTCCCGTCGTGCCCCGTCCGGGGAAGTGCACTGCTCTCGGAAAGCCCCAAGCAATGTGCGCTTCCAGGAGGGTGTGCGGCGCGCGGGGGTCTGCACGCGCGCACAGCATGTTAACGGAGGGCGTGCCGGAGGCGTGGCGCGAGGTGTCCCGGCGAGGCGTTCCGCACGGCGGGCGGCGGCGGGCGGGCCGCGGGGGAGCGCGGCCCGGGGAAGGTTGCGCGGCGCCGCAAGCAGCTCTCAGCTCCCGCTCTCCCGGCCGCCAAGAACGAGCCGCCGTGGGCGGGGCCTGCGGTGATTGGCGGGCGGGCGGGGAGGTCGGAAGTACTTTGTTTTTTATGCTAATGAGGGAGTGGGGCTTGTCCGTATTTACGTTGAGGCGGGAGCCGCCGCCCTTCATTCACCCACATGGTCCTTCGAGGTGCCGCCGCCGCCGCCCGACCCGCGCCTTCGCGCCACTTCGCGCCCTCGAACGAGGCCGAGGGGGTGGGGACGACCCCCGCCGCGCCGCCGCAGCTCGCGCCCCTCTGCGAAGCCCCCTCCGCGGGGCGGGTCGGCCGGACGGCCGCACCCCCGGCCTGGGGCCTCGGGTCGTAGTAAAGCGGAGGCGGGTGGGGAGGCGGGAGTGAGAGCCCGCGGCGGGCCAGGCGAAGATGGTGGCGGCTACTCCTCCCGGTGAGTGTGCCCGCCCCTCCGCAGCCTGAGTGAAACCTGTTGTGTGCGGCCCGGGTCCGGCGGGCGGGGCGCAATGGCCCGGGGCAGACTGGCCCGGGGCAGCGTGGCGGCGGCAGGCGGGCGGGTCTCGGGCCGTTGGCCGCCCGGCGAGTAGCAACCGGACTCGCTGCCCCTCACTCGCACGCGGGCTGGCGGAGGGGCAGGGCGGGGAAGGCGGGGTGGGAGGGGGCGGCGGCCGCGCCCGGGACCCGCGCGGACCCTTCTTGGGCCGATCCTGGAGGGCTGGTGGGCGCGCGGCGCACACAATGGCCCCTCGGGGAGGGGACGCGCGAGGCCCGCGCCCCTTTCTGGGCTTGTAGTGCGCGCGGCGCGCAGGGTCCCGGGCAGGCAAAGTTTCTCCCGGGGGCGAGAGTTAAAGCGCCTCCAGAACAAAGCGGCGGCGGCAGCAGCACATGGGGCAGGCCGCGGGCCGGGAGGGGGCGCGCCCACGAGGTACCTGCGCGCCGGCGGGCGGCGTGGCGTGGGCGGGAGCCTACCGTCCCCCAAACTTTGTGCGCGCGAGGGTGGGCGGAGGGGCGCAGGAGCTCCGGGCGGCGCGGCCTGGGCGCCACCCCCACTCCGCGTGGGCTTTGTTAACCCTCGTGGGCAGCCCCGGGGTCGGGCTCGCAAGTTCCCTGGACATGGCCCTCCTAGGAGGCCAGAGCCCGCCTCGGTCGTGGTGAGGAGCCGCTTGCGCCCGCCCGCCCTTGGGAGCGCGGAGCGGGAGGGCCGCCCCGGCTCGGCGGGAGCGGCGTCCCCGCCGCCATGTTCCTGCGGGGCGGGCTGCGCGGGGGTGAGGGCGGGGGACATGGCGGCGACTGCGCGCCGCCGCCGATTGTTCGCGGCTTAGGCCTCGGGCCGCGTGCAACGGGCACCGCCACCGCGGAGCCCCCGCCCCTCTGGGCCGGGCTCGGGGGGGGGGGTCGGGGGACACAAAGGAGGGGCGGCGCGCCCGCGTCCCCTCCGCACTCGGGCCTCGGCGACGCCGGTCGCCGCGCGGCTGCCGCCGGGAAACGGGGTGAGGGGGGTTGCCGCGTCCGGCGCGGCCCGTCTCTGACCTACCGCCCCCTGGCGGACGCGCGGGGAATCGCAGGGCCGCGCGCCCCCTTGTGCGACATGTGCTGCCGGCCCGGGCTCCATGAGCGTGGCGGGCACTTTGCCGTCTCTGGTGATCATGCCGGGTTTTCTGTTCTTAAGCCAAGCAAAGGTGGAAAAGAACTGGAGAAGGCGAACTCATTGCTGCGATATCTTCAAAAGAACAAAAATTAGCAACATGCCATCAGGACCACAGCAGTTTGGGGAAACAACTCTTTATCCCGGCTTGCAGCCACGAGGTCTTGATTGGGGGAGGGGTAGTGAAGAATAGTCCCTTGGCTGCTTTTTTCCTCTCATTGGAGCTGTACAGTAGAGTTAATGATTGCTGCTGATCATACTGAAGTATTTCAGGAGCTTATTAATTAAGGCATGAATTTGATACCTAGGGGTTTTTCAACTTAATAATCTTACACATTTTCACCCATACATCTTTGGTCTTTTAAATCTTGTTAACATTGCTTAGCTCGATTATACTTGATTTTGTAAGTGGGTGGAATTAATTGGCATTAGTGGGGTTGGAAAAGAGCAAATATGGATTATGAGAATGATGGTAATTTTGAGCAAATGTTTCTCTCTTTTCCCTGTTTTCCCCCACCCCCACCCCAGTCATACACGTGGACCTAACCGCACCAAAAGCTTTTCTAAGGATATTTTGCTGCGAAGGAAGTTTACTGGAATGGGTGAGTATGTTTTAATTTTCTTCTTTAACTTAAATTTCTCTTTACTCGAAAAATTTGGAGTCGAGTAAATACAATAGGATTGGGCTTTTAAAGCATGAAATAAGTGTTTTGGACTTTGTCCTATTTACCTCTTTTAGAAAATTAAGTTTCGGTCAGCTAGTTTTTAAGGTAATAAAAGTGCAGTGTTAATACCCTTAACATCTTTGGAAATGAATACAGATTACAAAATGTAATCTTAGGATTTCTTTTAAGTTGTAGAGTAAGGAAGACCTAATCTGGGATGGCAAATTTAAGATTTTAAAGAGTACATTTAACTTGTACAAATAAGTACTAAACTTGAAATGAAGTCTGAAGGTAATTTCATTAATCACTTTATCAAGTATTTGCTAATTGGAAGCCAGAAGAAAAGGAAATGTTTTGCCACTTGGATGTGAAGATTTCCTCTGAAAGGTACTCATGAGTCAAAATGCCTTGCTGATATTAAGTCTTACTTGTGTGTGGTATGAATTTTATTTTTAAGTATGTAGTATGTATTTGGGAAAGGCCAACAAGGAATAGCCACTACCACTCTGTTATGGTTTTTGAAGTAGTGGTTAGTTTATGCCTTCTGTAAATAGTTTTCTAGTTCTAAGGCATGTCTAAGTGGAACTCGTTTTTAGATGAACTGATTTTTCTTATTAGAGCTTAAGCTGAATTTTGTGTTTCATAGCTCTTAGTTTGAGGTGTTTATCTAATTATTTGTTTCAAATTTAGCAGGACTAAAGAGAACATCACCTTGTAAAACTGAAGATTGTGACCAGTCAGAATAATGTCAAAGTGCTTACAGTGCAGGTAGTGATATGTGCATCTACTGCAGTGAAGGCACTTGTAGCATTATGGTGACAGCTGCCTCGGGGAGCCAAGGTGGGCTTTAAAGCGCAGGGCCTGCTGATGTTGAGTGCTTTTTGTTCTAAGGTGCATCTAGTGCAGATAGTGAAGTAGATTAGCATCTACTGCCCTAAGTGCTCCTTCTGGCATAAGAAGTTATGTTTTCATCCAATAATTCAAGTCAAGCAAGTATATAGGGGTTTAATAGTTTTTGTTTGCAGTCCTCTGTTAGTTTTGCATAGTTGCACTACAAGAAGAATGTAGTTGTGCAAATCTATGCAAAACTGATGGTGGCCTGCTATTTCCTTCAAGTGATTTTTACTAATTTGTGTACTTTTATTGTGTCGATGTAGAATCTGCCTGGTGTTTCTGATGTGACAGCTTCTGTAGCACTAAAGTGCTTATAGTGCAGGTAGTGTTTAGTTATCTACTGCATTATGAGCACTTAAAGTACTGCGAGCTGTAGAACTCCAGCTTCGGCCTGTCGCCCAGTCAAACTGTCCTGTTACTGAACACTGTTCTATGGTTAGTTTTGCAGGTTTGCATCCAGCTGTGTGATATTCTGCTGTGCAAATCCATGCAAAACTGACTGTGGTAGTGAAAAGTCTGTAGAAAAGTAAGGGAAAATCAAACCCCTTTCTACACAGGTTGGGATCGGTTGCAATGCTGTGTTTCTGTATGGTATTGCACTTGTCCCGGCCTGTTGAGTTTGGTGGGGATTGTGACCAGAAGATTTTGAAAATTAAATATTACTGAAGATTCCAATTTCCATTGTAAAATGTTAAAAAAAGACACAAAGTATTAAAAAAGAGACTGTAACTTCAAATTTGTTCCTTTTTGTTAGTGTAAAATGTTTAACTTTGTATCTTGAAATCAAGTGTTGCTTTGGTACTAAACAGTTCACTTTGGTCTCATGTTCAACTTAGCAGTATAAATTTTGACACTTTGTGGAGTTAACACTTGGGCTATCAAGTGGTCCAATATGATTGCGATTGTACAAAAAATTCATTGTAAATGCATGACAAAAAGTTATTAAGTTATATATTCATGTATCTAAATGGATAAAAATGTCAAGTCTGTTTAAATCCATGTGTCTTATTAAGCTTGATACTCAGGATTAAGGCCTCATAATACATGAATTCTTGATGTACAGCAGTTAGCTGGTATGCACTCAATTCTTTGTTTATGATGTACGTCCTGTAAGTGACCCGGGTTGCTGTTTTTGCCATCTAGAAACTTTAAAAAGTTGGAATAAAAGAAAGACTGGTACTAAAAGAGTGACAAGTACCTGTTTGTGTACATGCATTTCTAAAGCCAAGAATGTGGTGAGGTGAAAATTTAAAGTTTTTTTATCCAAGTCTAGTGAACATATATGTTTGCCCCCCATTTAATAAGCATGAGTTCAAAGGGGAGTTGATTCCAGGTTGCTGTCATTTCTGTCTCTGGTGTAGAAACTAAGAAGTGCAGTTTAACATGACATTTCTGCATTTCTTTTGTTTCATCTCTAGTCTGTTATTTTTATGTGTAAAAATATTGGATGTGGCTGAGTGGTTGAGCACCCGTGGGTTCAACCCTGGTGCTAAACACAAAACATGGGTATCTTGACCTGTTACATTGGAAAGGACCACACTGAACTCAAGCAGGGATCCAGGGAAACTTTGATGCTTTCATTTTGCAAAATATCAGTGTATTTTGAATGAAAGTTGCTTAGTAATATGAAGTAAATTTCCATAACCTTAGCACTTAACTCACCTGATAAATTTTAGAGAATGTCTTTTAAAATACATTGGGTGAAATCTTAATGGACGTTTTCACCTCTAATATATCTCTTTAGAAATTTTAAGAAGCTTAGTCTTCGACACCTGAGTAGAAAGGTAAGAGTTACACAGTTCTGGAATTACGTGGTAAACTTTCAAGAAAAGAAAATAATCAGAATTGTACAGTGATAGAATGAAGTAGAAATCTAATTATTCTTTACCCGAATCTTTTGAATTGAAGGAAACCTAAAAATTGTTTTGTTTTGGTTATTTAATGAAAAGCATTGGCTTTAAACTGTTTTAAAAGTTCCATAAGGTTAACCTATCTTAATGGTACTCTGCAAAATGGTATTATCTGGTTATAAGTGAAAAAAAGTGTATACGTGTATCAAAATGTCTTGTTCAAAGCTTTTAAATATCCTAGCAGTGATATTAAGCCTGCATGGTGGTTTCTTAAATGTGCTTTAAATATGTCAAAATTTGTAACAGTCATTAAATGGTTACCTCTATCCCTGGGTTTTAAACCTATGTTACAGAACTTATTTGGACTTGAACTGACATTTTAATTCCAGTAAAAAAGTTAATAAGTGTGTTTATTGTGGGGTTGGCAGTAAGCTGAAGTTAATGTTGGTTTTAGTGGGAATTGTTTTGATTTGTTTCTGGTTTTAGAATGGCAAGTTTTGTTTTTGATTCTCTTTGATTTTTTTCCTTAGGGATGATGACATACATACCAACAAATGTAAATATATAAACATTGACATTAATTTCACATTAACCATCTTGAGGTACAGATGAGTCAATAATTGATCTGGGTGAAACTGTTTTGACATTCCTCCCACAGTGCTTTAATCAAGTTGTAATTTGGAGTTGGTGTTGCTTCAAGCCTTAAAACTTTAGGAAAAGAGGACTTTCTGCATGTTATGCTTAACACTGCTTGCAAAAGTATTGGTGATTTTACTGAAAACTTTTTTGAGATCTTCATTTTTACAGGCAAACTTGTCTAAGCACAGCAAACCAGACTTTGGGTTTCCCTTAATCATAGTTTGAAGAGCCCAACATGCTGATTCCTGACAATGCAACCTGCAACTGCCTGGAGAAAAATTCACTATCACCTTAAAAGTTTATTCCATGTTTAATGAAATACTATTGTTAGTAATTGATAATCATGTAGATTGTCAAACAGAATTGAGAGCCTATCAGCTAAGCAATAAAGATAAGGAGAGCTCAGCATGCAAGTCCAGTTTGGGGTATTTGAAAATGATGAGTCTCATGCCCCATTGAGACTTTGCAGACTATTCTTTGGCTTAAGGATATTTTAGTTCACTTTCTGCTTGAAGCCTGAATTAATGTAATTTTCTGTTTTGGTAAATTAAAATCAGTCTATATTTCTGAACTTTTAAAGGGTCATTAAGAACATGGATGTATCCCTGTGAATTTTAAGACCATTAAAAAAATTGTTGACAAAGAGTTTTCTACTTCTAATAAGCTGAATACAGAGGTGCATACCTAATTATGTATTTAGTTTGGTCACGATATTTAGGTTTTAGTGCATTTAATATTAAAAATATTTTAAACTGCTTGTTAAGAAGTTGTTCAAAATAAACACTGAAATAAAAATTATTTATTGTAGCTTTTTTTTTTCCTGGTGGCTACTTTCTTTTTGTTACTACAAATGATCCAGAAGTTTATGCTTCTTAATTGGGAAGGTGGGGCCAAATACCAAAGTTGTTTGGTTCACTCTCATTTTCTATGAAATCTGTTTTTATATCCTAATTTTTATAGGTAGGAAATTATTTGAAGGATACAAAGCTGATATTCAAACACATACTTAAAACTTGTCCTTTATTTGTTTGCTTAATCTGATAAATTCTCAAGTCATGCTCAATTTTTTTTTTTAATTTGGATACTTAGGTTTTAAAATCTAGCCAGTCAGGATTTTATTAATCCATGTATGTTTGTTTTGACTAGGTTGTTTATATCCTAGTGATACATTGAAGTTTAGAAGAGACAAACGTATTTTACCCCTAACTTATCTGATAAGTAGACACATGCTGATTATAGGGTTGAATGTTTATAATGGGTCTACACTGTTTAAAACGAATTGACATGGTTCATGGAAGCAGCAATTTCTAGGTGACCAAACAATCGTAAATGTGTAAGGTACTACAGTGTGCTTGTTTGTGGTCAGTAAAGCTGGGAAATTTCAAGTCTCACACTGTCAATCTTAAACAGGTTTAATTTTAAGTGAGGTAAATATTTAACATGAAGAACAAAAACATGAGTATCTTAAGTGTTCAGTAATTAAATCTTATTGGGTACATCATAAGACCCAGAGGCCTTAATTTAGGGTCGTGTACATTTTTCACAACACTTAAACAGTAATTAAGCTAGGGAATACAGAATCAACCTTCAGGAACACATATTTGAATTGTCTAAAAATCACTTCCCTGTTACTCAAAAGGATTGTTGAACCTGTACCTCAGTTTAGGTGTAGTTTCATTTCATCTGATCATTTCTACTTTGTATGCCCTGATCCTGTTCTGAATTACACAGCGTCCTTTTAAAATTGAAAACTTCCCTGGGTCTGAGGATAAAGCTCAGCTGGGGGGCTTACCTTGAATGCAGGAGGCCCTCGGTTCAATCCCTAGTCCTACACAATTCAAGGCTTCCATCTTTCAGTGACCTGCCTTTTACCCCTCATAGGAATCTTCGCATTTCGTAGGTTCCATACTTGTTCCTAGCCTAGAAGTCCTGCCCCAGATAACTGATTTAACCTTTTTCTCCTTGTACTCTTTGTGTACAAGTGTCAGATCAAGCTTTTTGATTATTTCCCCTAACGTAATTGTGGTATCATTATTTCTCAAGAAATAGAGAACCAGAGCATTTCTCCAAACCAGAATCGGCATGTTCAGTTTTAATAATGGAAGGAGTCCCTTCCCTTGCTACAATTAATTTGTAAACTTCTTGAGGGTAAGGATTTGGGGATGTGTGGTTCATTAAAATCACATCTGAGGTAAAGAACATACATAATTACCTTCAATGAACAAGTGGAAGTGTATATTAATATTACTAGAATCAGAAGGGAAGGGAACAGCAAAACTAATACATGTCCCATAACTACTTGAGGGTTTAATTCACTCAGCTTTAGTAAATGAATTAAGGAAAGTTCATTGCGGGGGTGGGCACTAAGGCTATGTTAGGGATTTTCCTCAGCAGTATTTAAATGTCTGTTGAAAGACTTAAGGAGAAAAAGGTAAGTTGAATCAACTTCCCAATTGTTCTAGTCTATGTGAAATGAAATATTGCTTGGAAGAGCTTATAGTGCACATCTCAAAATTCAGTGTAGGAAGTATACATCAGTCAACTAGCAAATTAACTAAAAGACCTCTATGGGGAAACAAATATTTGTTAGCCAATAAAAATGTAAACATTAAAGAATTGCTTTTGGAAATAAAATCTATTAGGAGACCACCAGGGTTTGAAATCTTAAAATTAGCTCATTGGGAGTGAGCCTTTGGAGACAGGTAAAAAGTAAACAAGCAATTTATTCTCTGCTTTATTAATTATAAGAATGGTTTGAATGTTTTGTTTTTATTTCAAAGAAGCCACCAGCAAAACACTACTTGGAAATCACTAGGGGAAAAAAAGAAGTCCACAAACGAGACAGGGCCTGGCGTGGTGGCACATGCCTGTAATCCCAGAACAATTTAGGCAGAAGGACCACGTATTAGAGATCAGCCTATAATCCCAGGGAGGCAGAGACAGGAGGATCACAAATTCAAGGCCAGCCTTTGCAATTTAGACCTTATGTCAAAATAAAAAGGACTGGGAGTGTAGTTTAGTAGTATAATGGCCCTGGGTTTAAAACTCACTTTGAAAAAAAAAAAAAGGCATTTTAGTTGAAATTAAGCACAAAATATATTTAGGTTGTGTTTTAACTCAGTTATACTTAAGTTTCATAACATGAAAACAGTTATATTTTCAGCCATTGGAAACATAAGCAACTGGTGATTTGTCTGTAGTCAAAGGTATATCCTCTTCCTTACCTCAGTACTCTCCCAGCAACAAGAATGGTTAAATCTCAGGTCCTTGAAAACAAGGGATAGATCGTCCCCAAAACAACTCAAAAAAAATATCTATTTTAAATGAAAGTTTCTCTTGAACAATATTTTACCATTAGTATATTCTTTGATGCACTGCAGTGGATATTTCCATACCATTCATAAATTTCTCATCTCCTTATGCCAAAATTTGTTCAGAAGTAGAGACTGAGGGTGAAGTTTGTTGGGAAGATTAGCAAGAGACTCGATGTGTGGCAGGGGCACAGGAACAGTGGATATAAAGAAAAAGCTCTACACAAATCTATGTGTGGTTTTAAGAGTGAGATGGATGGCTGAATAGAAGAAAGTGACCTGGTTGTTTCTGGGAACTTTACTATTGGGTCATAGTGTGATAAAAGGATTTAGAATATATCTTAAGCAGAATTAACCAGTAAAATTCTACACTAGTTTCTTTTTTACTTTTCAGCTATTACCATTCTCCACCAGATCTCTGTAGTCTTATGCATAATCCTATACTAAAGGCTATGTGCCCTCAAGGAGATTATATAGGTAATTTTGAGATAAGTCTTCAGGGTTAAATTAGAATTAGTAAAATGAATTGATAATGGACACTAAATGAAAGACCAAAAAAGTAAGTGTGCTTCTGGAATTCAGAAGGGGAAATGACTAATACAGTAAGTAGCATGTGCATTTGGTACACATTATAACACAGGTAATTAAAAGGGCAGACTTGTTAGTCTAATTTAGCATACATAAATACAGTAATGAGACTCTTTAAAATTTAGTCATGGTGTGTTGAGCCTTGCTTAATGTGAAGAATCTAATATTTAACATTTTTTAAGCCAAAAATGAAATGTGCAAGTTAGTACCAAGTAAAACCATTAATTCAGTCATAGTTGATTGATAAAATTTACTGTCAGAGAATAAATTCCTGATTTCTTATATAGGATTTGAGACATCTTACTGGAGTAGAAGTGCTGTATGTACTTAAAATGATGATGGAATATTAGAATATCAAAGACCCTAAGCATGTTTTATTTATTTCAAAGATTTATTCAATCCTATTGATGTTTAAAACCTACCATAATATTTTAATAATAGGTCTGTCTCCGAAAGGATGCCATTCAAAAGTAATTTTCATTTTTTTGTATAGTTTTATTACTTTGTATTCATTTGGTTTATAAAAAAAATAAGGGACAGCAATACATTTACCAGTCATGTAATTCAACTCTAAATTACAGGTTTCTTACACATATCCAGTTCTGGATAATGATAGGATCTAGAAAAAGAAAGCACTGATGAACTTAAAAAAAAATCTATGGGGGGAATGTTAGAATCATACTTAGATAATTCAGTAAGGTTACAATGCAGCAGTTAAGTAAACATGTAATGCCATTATTTTAAACACTGAGAATGATTTAGCCATGACCTGTGCTCATTTTTAAGAAAGAATAAAATGCTAGTTAATTACAGAGCACATGCTAATAAGATACAGAAGAAAATTCTGAGATTGATTGATCATTGTTTTTATACATTCAGTATATTTTAATAGTTTGGTGCTACTGAAGCTATTCTTAAACTCATCAAATAACCAGGTCAAGTTTGAGGAAATCGATCTCTACTAAATAGTTAACCATAAGGTATATTTGTGTTAGCAAGCAAAATGCTTTCAAAATGTTCCACTTTTGAAACTGAATCTTTTATGTTGACCCAATGACTTTGTTTGCAAAGGTAAACTGAAGTGGAGTTAAGCAATTGATTGGCAAATTTGAACACTGCAGATGACCATACAGGATAAAATTAATAAAAGTGATTTTCAGAAAATTTACTCAATGACAACAGACCTTTACTGTTCCTCAATGTTTAGGAGATTTTGTTTATTTGAAGAATTGAAATTGTAAGATTGCATGTTTGCTTGCTGAAGTTCATTGTGTACAAGGTATTAGGAGTAGAAGATAATAAAATATTTGAAGAGTTTGGTCTGGAATCATTTAATATAGTGAGTAGGTTAGAAAAGAGGAGGGGAGGCGTAGCTATAGGAGGAGGGGATGAGATGAGATTAGAAACAGTCTTTGTCCAACATGAACTTTAACTTCTGGGCCCACAAAAAAGTGCAAGAGGGCCACAGCTACTCTTACCCATTGACAGGATAAAAGTGGATCCTACTAAAAAACAAAACAATCTATTGTGCCTCCTCCTCTGGACCTTGACCCCACAGTAAAGGTATACCTCTTACAACTGCCTTTGTCCCTACTTATTTAGTTCCTTAGAAGAAATGAAGTAATAGACAATCTGCTCCATGGAAAAACTGCCTTGGGAAGTATAATGATTTCACTGGGTAAAAACTTGGAAGAATGATGTTTTTTTATGATCTTAAATATCATGTTTAGTGACTTGAGTAATTTTGTTAAAAGTTATTCAGCCCTCCATCCTTCATATAAGACTTGTGAATATTTTTTTTTCCTTTTCCCCCCACATTTTAAATTGGCATTATATTTGTACACATTGATGGATTTGTTGTTACATATTTGTATGTATGCACAGTATAACAACATAATT